GCAATCCGTCACAGAAGTGACTCGTCACGGAATTGATGACAATATGTGAAAGAAAGTAACAAACTAAAAATGAAACAACTTTTAAGGGTACCGTATTGCAGCTCTTTAGAATCTGTCTATCACCGGACGATGTGCCCCCCGTCCGAGATATCAATCGCTTTGTCTTGTTCATCTCGTCATGGAATGACGACTCGTTCCTCGGGTCTTGAGTAAGGTTTCCCATACTTGTATTCATGCCTCCTAGGAGATTCTGATTTCCCATGCCCCCATTCATGCTCAACATGTCCAAGACGGGATCGTAAGTCTTCTTCTAGACGGATGAAAGCTAACGCCTTTGCTTGGACATCTTCGAAGGATCGACAAGGGTATTTCGTCAGTTCTCGGTATAGCTCTGAATCTTCATATAAACCTCTTCTGAATGCTTCAATGACGGTAGAGACGTCACATTTTGGGATCGACACCTTCCTTACGTTGAATCTGTGCAAATAATCTCTAATTGATTCACCATGCCTCTGTGTGACTTGATACAAGTCACTGGTCCGTCTTTCCAATACCCTACTACTCGCGAACTGTCGATTGAAGAGATTGACGAGTTCGGCAAATGAACCGACGCTTCTATTCGGAAGATTGACGAACCATGTCAAAGCGGGACCGATCAATGTTATGCCGAATCCTCGACACATACATGCCTCTCTCTGTTCCGGTCTAACGGGGACGGTCGACATCACTTGCTTATATCGCGCGACATGTTCTCCAGGATCCGTGGTTCCGTCAAATGGCTCCATGGTTGGTACGTCAAATTTATTCGGCAGCTGGACACGAATGATCGAATCGTCAAAAGGTGAATCTTCATAACACGTTCGTGACGCTCTGCCCAAGGGCGTTGGTACCCCTGGCAATCCGTTGAGTTTGTCCTGCATCTGTCGCATTTGCTCCCTCAATATAGCCATCTGATCTGCCATATCCGGATGGAGGGGAACTGGAAACGACGATGTCGGTGCTGCCATCTGGCTGACTTCATGACAGATTGATGATGGAGTGAAGATCATTTCAGGACGTCTTTCAGGAAACGTCGATGCTAGTAACGCGTCAAATCCGTCACAGCGTCGCAGTTGAGGTTCTAGAAATGACACGCTGGGCCCATTCCGTCTGGCGTCCTGCATGAAACTTGATGGGCCGGCTTCTGCACCATTCCTGCTCCTGTAATGTGGGATTGACGGTTCCGTCATGGTGGAGTATAGAGTCGTCGTCGGCAGGCTTTGAGTTGCTGCTTGCAAGCTTGATCTGTTTGCCCTGACCCGAAGAGATTCTGGGAAGAAACAAACCGGTATGTTGGCTGGTGGTGTCGTCGTTGGCAAGAGTGGCGTATACGGAATGACTTGCGAGATTACCGTTGAGCATGGCTCCCCAGTCGGTGTCGGTGACAGACCCAATGTAAGAGAGACTGGATCCGTCGATGATGCTGGTGGATCCGTCGATGTTGCGGGTGGATCCGTCACAGCTGGGGAGAAACAAAGATCCAGTCGTGTTACGGCAGTCATTGTGTCACTCCTCCGGTTGAGCTTTGACTTTGAGGCTATTGACACCGCAGACTGTACCTGGGACCGAAGTACATCATTTTCCCGTTGGAGATGAGCCATCTTCTCCGCCATCTCGCGCCGGATTTCATCTCGGACCGTCTCTAATTGCTCATGGAATTCAATCAACAATTGATTTGCTCCTTCCATATGTGATCTTTTTCTTGCACGATGCCCCACGGTGGGCGCCAAATTGTTTAGGCAAGAAATTAACAATTTCTTCTAACAATCAAATAAAGAATTGGGAATCGCACAAGAAGAAACTCGAAGAATTAAAGATCAGAATTTAATATTTTATTGATGAATTTTTGTTTGAATACAAGAGTATTGGTGTTCTCCTTGATCAATAATGATCGTAAATGACTCTCTCCTTTATGAATGTTGTGCTCCCACATTTATACAAAAATCCTATCCTAAATAGTAGGCTCAACTTCCCACCGAATTAGCAGCTCTTCCTCCTTACGTGGGAGTTGTTGAGTCTTCTAATCCACTAGCCCACTCTTTCATGACTTGGTCATCTTTATCCACTTCAAATCTATCCTTACTTAATTAGGCTTTGTCTTTAATTGCTTATTAAAAATGGGCCGGTCTGCTACTTGAATTTCCACGGCCTAACATCGTTGGGAATGTGTATGTATTAATGTCATTTTTTGAATTAAAATAGTCGCATAGCCCTACAACACCGAAAAAATTCGCCCCACTATACTATGGAAATAAAATTCGCGCCGCTACATTAACGAAAAATTTTTCGCCATCTACACTAACGAAAAATTTCGCCCCCCTTGAGTCAATTTCCTGGATCCGTCCCTGTGGGGTGCAAAGGTTGGATTATTTTTGAATAATGAAAAGATAGGACTATTATAATAAGACCGTTAAAAGATTGGATTATTAGTTTTCATTTTTCCTTATTATTATATACGTACGATAGCTTTCTAGCTCCCACCTTCTCTTTCGATGCTTACGGTTGAGAGGACAAAATCACAACTTATTACTTGAGAAAGAAACACATTCACTAAAGCTAACGAAAATAGGTTTAAATGTGATCAGATGTTTGGCTGATTAAGAAACTATTGAAAAACATGTGTTACAACAGATAAAAGAATTAAATAATCGAAATCTTAATGACTTCTTTACTTCGTGGATTTCAGAAAGAATGGAATGCCATAATTGTTTATATTTTTAAAAGATCTTCTAACTTAACTAGTTAACAATAAAGTGGTAATAAAAAATGAAGAAATATATATTTGTATAATTGTATATAATAATTTCTTAAAAACAAACTCACGTGATTTTTACAATGTTGTTGTACATAAATTTGTTCACTTTTGTGAACAAAATTCAAAAACCTTCACACAGATAGTTTTTTGTCTATTAAGTTAGACATTTGATAAAATGGTTATATTTGCAGAAAATCTAATTTAATATACAACAATTATCAAATAGATGCCATTTATATCCAATCATAGACGTGAAAAATGTTACTCCGTACTACGTATCAAATACTTCATTCCTTCTTTTTTAGTTGCAACGGTCAACATTTCACACTTGTCAACGCACATCTTTGATTGTAATTATATCTTAATCTCTATTTGTTAAAAATAATTAAAAATCAGATTTTGAAAATTTGTAATGGTATGAATTGGACAATATCTTTTTTAAAAGATAATTTTCGTAAAATAATACCGTAAAATGTAGTCAAAGTAGAACACGTGAATAGTGTAAAATTCAACATGTTGCGATTAAAAAGAAACGGAGGATAGTATAAAAGATGGCTGCTGCATACATTGCTATTTGTGCTCCTCACACAGTGACATGCGTAAGGGGTGTTTGGAACCGATTCTACTTCTGTTTCTTTTTTAAATCAGAATTAGAATCAATTTTCAGAAGCCGTTATCTCCCATCTTCTAAAAAACTGCTTCTATGAGTAAATTAGAGCACCAGAAGTACTTCTTCACTTTCATTCAAACACTCCCAACTTCTATTTCTGCTTCTTTAAGGAGCAGAAGTAGTTTTATGAGTCGGATACAAACATCCCCTAAAACACTCAACCATATTCATCATTCAAATCAATGTGAGAGGCATACAAACTAATGTGTGATAGACATTAATTGTGTGTGCAAACATTTTTTAGATTGAATTTATATGTGATCAAATTGTATAGATAACGGTTGTTCCATATCCAATTCAACTTGTTTATAAAAAATGGAAGCCAAAATGTATACTATTGAAATATAATGAATTACTATCTTCTAACTATTCATGATTCATACAAATCTCTTCTTACTCAACATTGCCAAGTTAGGATGTTTTTACTTAGACTGTAATTTGTCTCAGACCAGACCAGACTTGGGCAGTTATAAAAATACACCAGACCAGACCAGACCATACCAGCAAATTACAGTCCAAGTAAAAACATCTTTAGTGTTGAGTGTAGAATTTGAATAATAAAAACTGTTAATTGAAATTTGTGCAATGGAAAAAGAAACGAGCATGATACAAATTTATTATTTTAAAAGAAAAATGACAAACTTTTTCAACAATAAAAAATGTTGACAAAACACAGTGCACTATTATCACTATTGAGTTAATTTTTTTTATCGTCAAACAGGGCTCTATTCATATCAAAAGATTCAGGATCATTACATCAAGCAAAAGGAAAATAAAACTGACACCAACTGAAACTTCAACAACTACGACTGTAACCCTATGGTGAGACTTTGAGACGGTCACCCCTGAGAGAGCAACAATCACTATTGAGTTAATTCAAAAATCACAATAATTTGTTTAGCCTTTAAATAGACATGGATAATTTTGTATTAAGGATGTTTTTACTTGGACTGTAATTTGCTGGTCTGGTCTGGTCTGGTCTGATCTGGTCTGGTCTGAACTAGTCTGGTCTGGTCTGGTAAGGTCTGGTTTCTTTGTATTTTTATAACTATCCAAGTCTGATCTGGTCTGGTCTGGTCTGAACTAGTCTGGTCTGGTCTGGACTGGTCTGGTCTGGTCTGGACTGGTCTGGTCTGGTCTGGGACAAATTACCATCCAAGTAAAAACATCCTAACTCGCCATTAAGGGTCTGTTTGCAACAGCTTCTGCTTTTAAAAAAGTGCTTTTTTTAATGAAATGGGGAGAAGTGATTAAATAAAAGTTGATAGTGTTTGAGAAAAAAGTGATTTTGAAAAGTAAAAGTGGGTAGTGTTTGGTAAAATAAGTGCTTTTTGTGTAATAGAAAAGGTAAAAACACTTTTGACGCGGAAGCCGAGAAAAATAAAAGTTGTAGTGTTTGGAAAAATAAGTGCTTTTTTAAAGCCAAAAGCTGAGAAGTGCTTTTTTAAAAGCAGTTGCAAACCAACCCTAAGAGCTGTACATTTTTTTCTCCATTTTTCTTTTATCTATTTCATTTTTTATAGTCGTCCTAGGGCTCGTGAAAACTGAAAATGGAGTCAAAAGTAAGAGTATATGTTCGGCAGTAGCCACCAATCAACAGTTGAGTGGACAGTCCTAAATCCGTCTGTCAGCGAGATATATGAGACAAAGAATCAGCAGTGAGAAGGGCTGTTCAGATGCTCAGTGAATGGGGAAATCCGGCGATCGGCATCTGCCACTGCACCACCGCCAGCTCCCAAACGGGTCTGGCCCAGACGGTGGTTCGTCGTACCTCTCTAGATTTTTCCCGGTGTTCAATTTCAAGTGCATCTTTGTCGTGTTACTAGCCGTCGTTGTCTTTCTGTCGGCCGTGTTCTGGGTCCTACCTCATCACTCCAACCACCGATCTGGGTTTGATGCAAAAGACTCGACCATACTCAGCTGTGAGTACACTCCATCCTCAATTCAGTTCTCTCCTTCTCTTTGTTGTTTTACATCTATAATTCCACTTTCTATGTTTGGCAAAGTTTTCTGCTTGATCTCTCTCTGGATTTACTTGTTTCTTAATTAGGGTTTTGCGAGTAAAAAAATCACTTTGAATTTTCTGTGTAACAAGCGTGTTTAGTGTGCTAAATGTTCAGTCTTACCCGGCATTTTGCAATAATCTTTTCGGTGAAGTTGGTCTGATCAATTGAAGATTTGCTTTCTCAATTGTGGTGCTTTGGAAATAAAATTAACCACCTATTTTTGATAGATATAAAGCTCGTATTTGGGATATATAGTTCATGTCAAGGTTTATTTACTTATTCTGAAATTATTTAAGAAATTTTGAACATTTTCTAAATGATGGTCAAAATGAGTTCATGATTATACGAATTTTCGGTGCGCTGCTTCTGTTTTCAGTTAAGGGACTTTAAACAAAAAGCACTGTTTCCAAACACATCTCTTGATGCTTTGCTTTCTTCGGATCTCACCTATTGCATAATACATACTTCGTATATGACAGTTGTTATCAGGAACTAGAAAACAAACATGTCACCTAATGATACCTCTCACCCGTCACACAAACAACACCTCCTATCATGAAACATAAAATTTAAGTGTTACCGAATGACACCTTAGCTTTCTAAGGATCTCGCCTCATCCATAATGTTACATCTATAGTGCAGCCATCGGTGGAATACCAACTGATTATATTATTTTTTTTACTCTTTCTTCAACGCAGCATCTGTTCAAGCATCCTTCCAGCTGGATAAAGCAGTTTCAGATATAACCCCGTACATCGATAGACTAGAGTACAATATATTTGGTGAGATAGGTGTCCCTTTTACAAAGGTACATCCTCTTTCCTGTTATTACAAGGGACCTTTTAAAAGAGGTGGATTGTTTTCTATTGTTTCCCCAAATGAATTTTGTGTTCATGTATGCTTTTTAAAAGCATTCACACTGGACTGCTGGAGGCATGGTAGCAAGGTGGGGGTAACTAAAAAAGACAGGGTAAAAGTGAAATATCAAAATATTTTTAAGAACTCGAGAAGTGTGTACTATAATAAGGATCAGATGGAGTAATATGTACTTGTTTATATTATTGTATTCTATGTACGGGTTTCTTATTAATAGTGTGAAATGTTAATTGGTTATTAACTTATTAATTAATTGCAGGTTGCAGTTCTACATGTTCACTCGGCTGGCGTATCATCTAACCATACCAATGTGACATTCGGTGTCCTTTCTGATCCAGTGGACATACCAATAAATTCAGTGTCTCTGAATTTGCTGAGATCTTCTCTTCTGGATGTATTTCTGCAACAAGCTAATCTGACCTTGACCACCTCGGTTTTTGGACAGTCATCTTCTTTCCAGATTTTGAAGTTTCCAGGGGGGATGACTTTAAATCCTGATTATAATTCTCCGTTTTGGCAAGAACAGATTCTTTTCAGTTTTAAGCTCAACAATTCAATTGGTGAAATAAAAGAGTATTTTGTTGAGTTCAAAGAGGAGCTGAGATCAGGGTTACGTCTCCGACAATGTGAGGTACACTCTTCTTTCTCAAAAAATGTTAAAAATGGTGGTTTTTAAGGTGATTAGTTTTGCCATAAATTGACAAACATGCTCCTTTTGATTTCTAGAAAGTAGATATTACATAAAGTATAAAAGTAACAAGCAGACTTGAAATGAATGTGATGAGGTGACATAATCATTTTACTTTATTGGATTTCCAAATGGCCACATTTTTTGTAAAAAACTTGCATTTAGTTGATGGGCTTTAAATTTAACGGAAGCATTATATTGTAACTTGTACACCATATGCCATATATATGCTCATGAATACTTAGAATAGAGGAGATCAGTCCTTTCCATGGTCTAACATGTATTCCAAATTTTCTTATAACTTGACATTTTATTTGCTGTGAAAGAAGGAAGGTGCCCTTGCCATAGTTTTATTTTTTAGGCTTTAATTATTTAAACAAGGAATAACGACACTTGGAGTGTAGTCCTTTAGTCACTGAGAAATAGTAAATTTAGTCTCTCAGTTATTATGTCACATTGGCAGCACTTGAAGTCCCTACCTCATTCTTAAAGCGGCCAATTTAGTCCCTCAGTTACAATTAGTATATATTTCTTTAATTAGCATCTTGAGTCTCTTGTGCATTTTATACATGAGAAACTACTTTCCTTTATCTTTTAAATGCAATTGATACTCCCTCTGTCCCTGATTGTTGTTCCAACTTTCCCTTTTCGTCCGTCCCAAAAAGAAGTTCACTTTCCCTTTTTGGCAAAGAATTTGTGGTTCACATCATTCCTCTCTCTTCTGCACAACTCTCCACCACACAATTCTCACTTTCTTAATCACCGTGCCACTTTACTTTGGAACAACAATTAGGGACGGAGGGAGTATTATTTATTCTGATGATGAATTCAAATTTCAATATAACGGAGCGAAATATGGAAGCAGCCTAGTAACTAATCATGAACTAACTTTTATTTTTTTATTAGAATGTGATAACGTTATTTAATCATGTTAGTTGTATCTGAAGTATTATTTGGAATTTTTTGTTTTTATATTTTGTGTGTGGATTAGATCTCATAGAGACATGGACTATTTTTTTTTAGATCTTAATATTGTTTGCTTACAATCTTCTACAATTTTCTTAGTTTGAGAATAACTTATGTACTAAATATACTGTTTTCATATATTATAGGGATCTAATGTGTTATTTTCTCTTTAAACAAGATTGGCTAATGTTGGTTAGCCATTATGTGATTGGTTATAATTTTTTTGTTTCCCCCTAGCAGAATGTTTTTGTGCAAGTGAATAACAAAAAGGGCTCCACAGTGGACCCTCCAGTTACAATTGAAGCTTCAATTGTTTCAGACAGAGGACACCTTACATGGGATCGATTAAGAGAATTGGCTAATATCATTACCGGATCCTCGCATGCAAGGAATCTTGGTCTTGATAACTCTGTTTTTGGCAAAGTTAAGGAAATAAGTCTTTCTTCCCTTCTGAATCATTCACTACAGGCTTTGCCGCCAGCTCCTTCTCCGTCCCCACTGCAAAATCATCCCAAGGGACCATCTTCACCGTCCTATGCCCACACTCCTTTGCCCAGTCAGCACTGGCATAGAAGTCGCAGTCCAGAGATATCCCCAGCCCACTCCCCCGTATCTCATGGCTTCTCCAATAGAGGACACCATCAGGACAAAGGAAACCCAAAAAGTATCGCACCTGCGCCTGCGCCTGCGCCCTCAATATCATCCTCTGATCCTTGTAAGTTTCTCACAGTGCTGAAAAGTAATGCACCTGTGTTTTATCTATTTACAACCATGGGTTGATGCTCTGGTTTTAGGTAAACAGCATAAATGGCACCCTTTGTTTCATTTTCATTCCCCAACTATTGAATGAAGCAAATAACATTCCATGCGCTTATGCACATTTGATATGTCTCTGTTGACAGTACCATTTGAAATTCAGCACAAGTTCATTGATAAGGCAACATGAATACAATGTATATTTCCCAAAAAGATTATGTGTGATCAATTAATTCACATAGTCAGTCTTATCAAACTCAGCCTAATTAGTCTTACCAATTCAGGAAGTAATCAGGTATAGGAAGAAGCAAGATGTACTTCGTATATAACTAGTTTGGTCATTGTTACACATCAAATTGTACTCCACTCGTGAGGGCTTCATTAGCTTAGTAGAACTATTACACTGTGTTTGGATGGAGTGTTGAGAGGTGTTAGTAAGTATTGACAGGGCCCTGAAAGGCAAGTGTAAGTGTAAAACATAAGCTTACCTTGTTTGGGAAAGTTAAAGAAATGAAGTGTCAAGTGTTAGTAAATAGTAATTGAAGTGTTTTCACTTAAATTGATAAAAGTATTCCAGTACCTTATAAATTATTAAGTACCCATAACAGCTTAAATTTCTTTCTCCATTACGTGAGCAGCCAATTTTCTTTCATTTCGCTCTTTTCGATCAACACTACATACTAAACTAAACCTTCCAACTTGTGTAATTTATTTTCTTAGTCGTGGCTCTCAATTTCAATTCTTAGTTATGATTTCTTTGAAAAATGTGAAACATATTGGACCAAAAAATATGAGCAAAATAAGTTTAAGCTCATCAAAAAGCAATACAACCGTTCCAAACAAAGCAAAACTAATGCAATGTCAAAGTTCATAAATTGTTTGAACATTAAATTCAAAAATTATAATGGTAAAACATTAATATGTTAGCTCATGACATCGAAGAAGAGCTGTCAGCATATCAGGCTTCTGAACAAGAAATAGATAACATGCATTACGATCTTCAGTAGCAATATTTACATCATCTAATAAATTCCAAACCTCACTTTCTGATATCGGAAACGTGGTTGCTTTAACGATTTCTAATGTTGAACTTGAGATAGCTTGAGCGACATAATCAAGTCCTTTGAGAAGCACAACTTCTCAATCATCTTTAGCTTTCTTCTTGCCTTTTCTATTTGAAGATGCCCCGTCATGATTAAGTGAGACTGCCCAATTTCCTCTTCATTTTGAGTTGGGACTCCTTGAGATGTATTTCTCTGACCACCTTGTTGAGATATACCTAGGTTTTCCACATTCATATCACTTTTAAGTATCGAATCAAAATTATCAATATTATCTAATGATGTATAAATTTGGAAAGGAACCTTGATCTGAGGGTTTTTTATTGAGGGGGGTCTCAATTGTACTGTGGGTTGGGTTTTATTTGCTTTGTCGTTATTTTCTTTGTTTCTTTTTTCTTGCTTTTTATTTGTTCTTTCTTCTTCATTAATAAAATACTAGTATCTTTTTCATTGCAAAAAAAATGTATACATTTGGCCCTCTTCATTAAAAGTAGATTTTCTCTTTCTTATTTCTGCATGATACCCATCAGCTTTATGTTTCCCTAATAGCAAGCATAACTTGTTAAAGTTAAACATTTGCTTATTTTTCCTTTTCGCAGCTTCGGATTTCACATTTTCACCTATGAAAAAATATATTTTCACAAAACATATTCATAGATACAAAAAAAGTAGAAAAATACACCTACCTTTTCGAAATATACCCCAATCAAAGCCACTAGCACCATTTTTTAATTAATCGTAACATGGATACCAAATCCTTTTTATATTCTTCATCCGATTATGAATCTTATCCTTATCAATTGATTTATTAAGAAACCTTTCCTTCAATTCCCTAAAGATATTCTCAATAAAGTCTTACCGTTATGTGTGTGTGTTTGTAGGGGAGAGTTCTAATGAGAATCCCTTTTAAAATGAGAACTTGTTTATAAATGAGAACTTTTAATTTCCACCTTTCATATTTCAAATCAAGAGTTAGAATCAACAAGGTGAAATTTTTGTAATATTTTTACAATAATTACAAAAATATCCCGTTTGAATTTTGATGGAGTACACAAAGGATCCATGTGCATTCTAACAAATGATTGAATAAAATAAAAGAGTGACTAAAAGTTCTCATTATAATTTATAAGGAGTTCTCATTTTTAGATGGCTTCTCACTAGAATCTCCCCTATATATATAAGATTGGGATGGATTTTTAGTAGGGCCATGGCTTATGTCAGGCTATAGAGGCTTGGGCCCTAAAAATTTGAAAAAATTAGGGTCCCAATTTTTTGATACTTTTACATTATACTCGTGGTTATTTCTTAAATGAGTTTAAATCGACCTTCTCTGTTCTCCAACGAAGGACGCCGTAAATCAGGGAAGGAGGAAGTTGATCCTGGCACGGGTTATTGGGTTCTCTATAGCTTCACAGTTTTTTTTTTAATTTTTTATCCCTTCTACAGTTCGAGTTCTAGCTTGCACGACACACTAAGTTTTTTTTTTTTTGAAAATTAGGATTTTGGCTTTAGCGAATCAGTATTAGCTAGAAGTAGATTACGAAACATTAGCATTTATCAGTATTAGCTATGCAATTCTTATTTTTTTTGTATTTTTAGACTTGTTGTAACTTTATATTGATTTGCTAATGCTAAGTGTAGAAAAATGTTTCTAAAAATGAAGCTTATAAAAACATTTTTACAGTCAACCATGTTTCAAAAAAGAATGATTGCATTAGTTGGGTTATCAATTGAGAAAGAATTTATTGATGACAGTTTATAGATTATGCCGACTTCATTAATACGCTTGCATCTTGAACTTTTTGACGGGTTATACGTAATTAGTTTTCAATACATTCAGTGTCATATTGTTATAATATAAGACTTTTATATAAGTATTGCATTTTGTGATATTTAATTATTGAAATTTATCTTTTAATTTTTTTATTGAATCTTAAAGAACCTATATGACAAACAAACAATTGTTATCCAATGTTTGAGGGCCCTTTTACGAAACACGACTCTGGCCCAAGTTTAGGTAGGATCGGCACTGATTATTAGCTTCCCGTGTTAGGAGCAGCGCAATGTTTTACATCGAAGGAGCAAAATATTAATAAAAAATCTGAATTGGTAAGAACTGATTTTCAAGGAGCAACGATAATATTTAACATATGTTAGTAAACATACATGATATACTTGATTTTCCTACACAAAGAGATGAAGAAGAATTGGAGGGAGAAGTGACCAACCTGGAGAAGGAGAATAGTCTGCTGCAAAAGAAGAACAAGAATAGCCGCAAGAGTGAGAGAGAGAATGTGTGAGAATAAGTACCGAGTTTGAATATATATTTGAAATAAGAACGGCAAAGGTTGTCCAACACTTCACTACACCCCAAATTGGGGTGTTAAAAAACGATAAATTTAGGTGTTGGGATTTGGGAAGATTATGGTTAATGCCTCTATTTTTTAAATTTCTCTCCTAAACCAGTGTTAAACTCAGCACACTAACACCCGTTAACTCATAGTAGTCAAACTTGAGACCCTACATAGGCTCGGAAGGAGTCCTGAAGATCGTAAATCGTAGGATCGTAACATAGATATCGTAAGATTCTACTTTACATATATTTGTATTTTGTAGTATTATATATTTATATATATGAATGTATGTATAACTAGATATTGAATAGAATATATAAATAATAATGAGCAATGCTTGGTGTACCCCATGTGTACACCACTATTTGTGTGGTTCACAAAAGCCTAACCATTAAATCAATTGCCCCACTTTAATGAATTGCCTTTTTTGAACCGCACAAGTAGGAGGGGTACAAATGGGGTACCCCAAAATGGGGTACCTATAGTATTTTTCAATAATAATAATAATAATCACAGCAACATAGGAATTGATAACATAGCAATACAGGGAAAAAGCACAGTAGTAAACTAAAGTAATACGTAGTAATAAACTAATAAAATTACAAGATATACCCCCTCCGTATCGAAGATAAACTAATAACTAGATATTGAATAGAATTCATAAATAATAATAATCACAGTAACATAGAAAATGATAACAGAGCAATAAAGGGAAAAAGTACAGTCGTGAACCAAAGTAATAAACTAATAAAAATACTATGTAGAAGATATACTCCCTTCGTATTGAAATGTTTGCTACAATAGGGTTTGGCACAATATTTAAAGCAAATGTAGTAGGGGTAATGAATAGTGTAGAAAAAATAGGAGAGATGGTAGAAAAGGATGGTGGAAAAGTATAAAAGAGAAGATTAAAAGTAGAAAAAGTAAGGGCAGTTAGGTATTTTCAAAGGGGAAACATACCAGAAGTGGAAAGTGTATCAAAATTAAAATACACCCCAAAAAGGAAAGTGTAGCTAACATTTCAATACGGAAGAAGTACAGTATTAAACTAGGAAAGTGTAGCAAACATTTCAATAAGGAAGAAGTATTAAACTAACGTATTAAATCATTGTTTCGTATAACATAAATGGGAAGTTCCTACGGATCTGTAATGTATAATATAACAGAAATATTATTAAAAGGATGGTGGAAAAGTATAAAAGAGAAGATTAAAAGTAGAAAAAGTAAGGGTAGTTAGGTATTTTCAAAGGGGAAACTTACCAGAAGTGGAAAGTGTATCAAAAATTAAAATTCACCCCAAAAAGGAAAGTGTAGCTAACATTTCAATACGGAAGAAGTATTAAACTAACGTAATAAATCATTGTTTCGTATAACATAGGGAAGTTCCTACGGATCTGTAATGTATAATATAACAACGGAAATATTATTAATTATAAAGGAGCGAGCTCTAAATCTTGTAAAAATATTACATGGAGGTCGACACAGTAGCTAACAGATGAAGAATTGGAGGTCAAGGACTTGACGCAGAAGCATCAGATGATATGGAGAGATGAAAAGATATTAAATTTGGAGAAAAGATCGCAGGCGCAGGGGATTCACGCAGAACTATTTTGGTAAATTTCAAAGCTACTTCGTTCAACTTCCCGCGTGTTTCTCACAAGTTTCAGTGCCTCAGGGTTTGTTTTCTAGACATCTCCTGATAGGATTGAATCGCGATTCAACTGCGATTCTGTGATCCTATGATTAAACACGCTGATCCCAGTGATTCTTACGATTTTATGATACTCGGTAGAAGCGGGATCGCAAGGCTACTGGGATCGTATGATTGTACGATCCTATGAGTAAACTCGCGATTTTGACTACCATGCCTTCAACACTCTAACCAAACACAGCGTTAATTACACATAATTTGTTGAATGCATGCAAACTTCAAACTATAGTCTGATATTTTTTTTGTTGAAACTGGAATTTCAAATGGTGCCATCTTATACCAGTTAAATGTACTTGGGGTACCGATTTGCTTCATTCAATTTTTGTGGTGCCAAAGTGCATCAATAACAACAGTTGTTGACCATTTATAAATTTACACCTGTTTTTTAGGAATCTTTGTTCTGGATTTATACTGCATCCCATTTTTGCTGCTGGTTCTGCTCCCCTTCATTTCGCAAAATTGAAACCTTCCTATTATAATGCTCCGGTTTCAGTTCCAGTACCAATTTCTAAACCGGAGCAGTGTTTAAGCTGAAAAACACCACCTGTATACATTGTATTTGACACATGCTTATTGATTGAACTAATTTTGCAGCTTGCGAAAGGGGATGTGTTCACACGGGGATGTATTTTACCAACGTGCTAGGATCTCTCGTACTCTTTGCTTATTGGATTTGACAACAGTGGCGCCAGCGGGTTAGTAGATAGCATGCTTGCCATTTGAACCATGAGAACGTGAAAGTCAATTTGTAACTGCCAGCAGGTTACAAAAAGGATATGATCTCACCACTACAGAAGACGTACAGGACACTTTTTCCCAAAGGGAATGCTAACTTATACAGTATTGTTTTCAAATTTGATGCAGGTTTTTCATTGAGATACCAATTGTAAAATGTTATGGGTTCTCTTTGGATGGCCTGTAATCTGAGTCGATGAAAGTGTGTATAAGAACAAGACACTTCAGTATACTTTAGTAACATACTCAAAAAGCAAAAAAAAAATGTCAACACTTTAATATGATCTTTTTGAAATGTTTATACTTCAAGGCTTCAAGCATTTAAGGCTTGAATTTTTTTTTCAAGCCTTCAACTTACAGAATACTGTCATTGTCTTGCCGTTTGATGCTTTCTACTTTCTAGTAACATACTAACGTGGGTTCAGTGGGTTGAAATGTTGAATACATCATTTGAAATTGTATCATCTCTGTAGTCTAGTAGATTTTAATTAGTTTGGGGTGTACCATTTCCAGTAACAGAACCGGTTCCCGGGCCGGGCCCACACAGTATCGGGCCGGGCCGGTTCCCGGGTTGGGTATCTCGCAGACCCGCACCGAGGCCATCACTAGTTTGGACCAGAGATCGAACAGGAAGGAAAAGTATATCTCATGTTGGTTCAGCACTCGATCCTTTTTTCATTTTTACAAAAGATTTTAAAACATGCTCGAATTCGTGTTTAATCAGTAGCTTTCGTATTCTCTTTCGAGTTATCCTACTTTTTTGACCATTTACTCGATTTGAAGGCGTAAATCTTCTCGTGCTTTTGTTATTTCGCAAATCGAGTAAAGTTGGCATTTGGAATCTGGAATCTTAGCCTATTCGTTTTAAACTTTACTCGCAAAACGTGTTTAATCAGTAGCTTTCGTATCTTAGAACAATTTGTAAACAAAATTCGTGCCATTTCGAGTTTAATCAGTAGCTTTCGTATTCTCTTTCGAGTCATTATTTTACTCTTAATTTTGCGAAATTGTTCGTTTTAAACTTTACTCGCAACTCGATTTTAAAACATGCTCGAATTCGTGTTTAATCAGTAGCTTTCGTATTCTCGTGCTTTTGTTATTTCGCAAATTCGTGCTTTTGTTCGTTTTAATATAATAGGCAATTATTTTAGAACGAACAAAATTAAACACTTTAGAAACAAATTGGTCATTATTTTACTCTTAAATTTCATGAAAAGTTAGTTTTGGTCTTCTAGAAAAAGCTAAATGCGGTTTGATCCGGTCAAGAACTCAAATTTTTTTCTATTTATAGATCCCTATATTACGTAATTTTATTGAGCCACGCAAGTAAGCAACCCTCATCAAGGGTCTAATTTGTAAAGAGGGTGTAGAACTCATTTGAGGTAAGAATTAATATCTAGGCTAAGCACAAGATTACCTGAATGCCTAAATTGTGATTTTTCATGGATTATAATGTCTAATGCTTGTTAAAATATGGATGCCTTAAATTTTGAACAAAGTTGTTCATGATTTTGAGTTATACTTACGAATATAATGTGCTATTTTGTCTATTTATGAATTTTTGTGTTGAAATATGAAATTCTAGTTCATGTACGGAGTAATGGAGTATATGGATTTTGAGACAACTCCTTTAAACAGTGTCTATACCGTGCAACCGGTACATGGTGAGCACCATGCACCCATGGTTATATGAGATGTAACTCGTGTGATTCGAGATGTAACTTCAAGTTTATCAAAATGTAAATTGCACTCATTCACATGTAACTCGTTAAAATGTAAACTGTTTTTATTGAAATATAACTTGGGGAACAAATTAGATGTAATTTGGGACATGTAACTTTAGGCTATTGACATGTAACTCCATATATATATATATATATATATATATATATATATATATATATATATATATATATATATATATATATATATATATATATATATATATATATATATATATATATAGAAAACTTCATGTCAGGCCGGCCTGACGGGCTGCCCCGTCCGGCCGAGCCCGTTTGAGCACCTTCCCGGTGGAATTTTTTGATGAAATTTTTTGAGCATGTTCCTCATCAAGTCTAGTTTGTCCATACCAAATTTCAGCTCAAAATTCGATCGGGAAGGTCGTCAAATGATTTTTTCAAGTTAACTGGTCCGGAATATGTATTTTCCGGACTAGTTAACTTGCAAAAATCATTTGACGACCTTCCCGATCGAATTTTGAGCTGAAATTTGGTATGGACAAACTAGACTTGATGAGGAACATGCTCAAAAAATTTCATCAAAAAATTCCACCGGGAAGGTGCCCAAACGGGCTCGGCCGGACGGGGCAGCCCGTCAGGCCGGCCTGATGAGAAGAGCCCTCTATATATATATGTACACACACACAAATGAATATACTGGGCATGATCTGGACCTGTGATTGCGTGAGGCAACTGGGGTTGTGGTGGTGTGATGCGGCAGTTGCAGGGATTGCACAAGGGGGTTGTGGTTGTGGGATGGTGTTGGGCAACAATTCTGCAGGTGGATGGGCGAGGTGCTAGGCGCTGTGAAGGTTTGGGGCGGCTAGGTGGCGATGGCAGGCGGGCAGGGCCTTTTAGAGCGTTGTTGGTTTAGGCGAATGGAAAGAGAGGAACGATCGCCGTTTTGCGACCGGGCACACCATCCTCATGGTGCGCCGGTCGCACGGTATAATTTGCGCCTTTAAAGGAATTTTATTAATTCGAGACCTGAAAGATAAATGAATTATAACACATACTCCATCCGTCCCCTTTTAAATATAAAATATCCCATTTTACTATATTAGGATATTCCTATTTAATTGTCTCATACCTTATTTGGTAAAGTTTGTGTGGCTCAAAATCATTATTACTTTATTCTTACTTTATCAATTAATATCAACCACACAAACCCACTTTTCTTAAAACTCGTGCCACCCTGTTTCGGGACATTTAAAAGGGGACGGAGGGAGTATACAATAAGTTTTGGTCAAGCAAATTCATTTCATTAATATTATGGATTGAGAAGGAAAAATATGTTTGTTTTTCGTTTGCAAAGTTTTGACCAAGTAATTTCAGGTAGAGCACGAAAACAAGTAAACAACTGTAATACAGCCAATAGACTAGGAATTGCAAAATAGTATAACATTTATAGCGACATGTTTCTTTAACAAGCCCGAAAAATCAGTTGATTATCAAGATCGCCTAAGGTTTTCTCCACTTGATGAGGGAGAAAATTGGTGCCTTGTCAGTCAAGACTCCTCGGCCGTCATTTCTAACAGACTCGAGTTTCCATGCTGGACCAAGGAGCCATGAAGCTGCAGCTCCTCCTACCAAACCTCCCAGCTGAAAAATCAATCATAATAAAGATATTCAAATCCGACATGTAAGCAAAACACCAGATTTAGGGTCCAAATCAAGCAAGTTAATCGAGATCGGTTCGGTTCTTACTCGAACCTAGCTTAACAGATTCAAACTTGACTTGTCAAATTCGACTTGAACATCAAACCAAGTCAATTCAAGTTATATAAAGCTCAACTCGAAAAGCTCGCAAGCTACTCGATCGTGAGTTCATATTGATTTTTTTGATTCATACATATGAGCATGACATTATATATCCAGAATATGGGTTCATACTTAATCTGAAGTATTATACACATCTTCTACTAAAAGTATACAACAGATTACATGTTGCTTAATGTTTTAAGTGTTATGTGGGCTTTAGGCATTCCTATGTGGCGATAAAACAGAGTTACGTAAATGGCAAAGGGATTCCCAACGTTTAAGAACATAATTTGAAAACTTTGATTTTACATTTAAAGAATTATTGATGATTGCACATGTGTGTTTAAAAGTGATGACAAATCAAACAATTTGCTTAAAAATATACAACTTTTAAGAATAGATAAGACTCAAATTCAATTCAAACTCAAACTCAAGTTATATATTTCTCAACTTGAACACGAATTCAACTCTTTTTATTGATTATGACTAGATCTAAACTGAACTCAAGCTCAACTCGCTTGATTAGCACCCTGACACCATATCATGAACTTCGTAGGCTATTATTTTATGGTTTGTTTGTTTGTTTGGAGAAATTATTCTTCTCCTAATTAATTCCTAAATAAAACAAAGCATTCCCATGTTTGGTATATACTTCCTCCGTTCTTTAATAAATGCAACACTTTCCTTTTTCGGAAGTTTCAAAATAATTGCAACATTCTATTTTTGGTAAGAAAATATAGGCTCAATGACTACCATACCCCTCCCTATTCACAAGTCACAACCGCATAGTCAATCCATCTGCACCCAAATTAATCTCACCCACTCATGAGTCATAACAATTGTTTTTTTCCTCATGCCACGTTCCCCATTTACTTTTTATCGCTCTCATCTTCTTCCAGTTTTCTCTTATGGCTATATTCTGCTTGACTCAGACCCCTCAACTCCTCTTTCTTGTTCTTTAATGTGAACACCTATCATTTCTTTCTTCAATAGTTCAATTTCTTTCCACTCAACATCAATTTTCTTTTATCAATATGTTTTTCATTGCCTTTTTTAACCGTATATGGAGACAAACCGTCAACAATAAAGATGCGAAATTGTTTGCTCCGGCAACTTCTTTTCAGGATCGGACTAAAGGAAGCACAAAAGAAGGAGCATCCATAGGCCGTAGCTAGAGTAGCCTGTCAGTTTGCTGTTTCTCTCGATGTAATAATAGCCATGTGTAATTGAGGGTAAAGCAGGAAGAAACAACACTTTTCTAAAGTTTCTTAATTTCTGTGCCAGCGGCAGTGTTGCATTTAAATCCGAACAGAGGAAGTATAATATTTTTTCTCCCTTAGATATTTTTACCTCGAGTTTGAGGAATAATTCTTACCCAAGCACCCCATGAATAGTCTAAGGTATGTTGCGGTTTGTATTTTACAAATCTTTTGCTAGTTAAAGCATATATACGAGTCCATGTGCTCGTTATTCAGGCTTACCTAAATCTAAATGATCATTAGGGTTTAACAAACTTTATTCTTCTTAAAAGATCTAACTTGATAGGAGAAATAGTTCAAGGTTTAGTTTATATCTTTAAAATTGACTGCCGAAGAAAACAAATGGAATATGAACTCCTTTTTTTCCTCATAGGGTCATACATTATTTTCTGAATTTCCTCTCCCATATATTTTTCCTTCCAGCCAAACAAGCGTTAGGGAATGTTTTCCATTTCTTAAAGTAAGTGTTTTTCAACTTCTAGCATTAAAAAGGTTGAAAAAGTGTTTTCAAATAACTTTTACTTTTTCAAAATTACTTTTTCTCAAACACTACCAACTTTTTACTTCTCCGTATTGATCACTTTTCATATCATCTCTATAATTTGTTAACTCAAAAGTAGAAGCAAACGCTCTCCTGACTCCTGCTTGAAATGCACAATGAAACACTAATTTTCAAGTGTGAAGCAAGAC